CTTGAGCACTTCATCTGGGCCTACTTCTGTCAGAAATATCATCCTTTTGCTTTCCCGTTGCCTGATTAACAGGATTAGCAGGACCTTCGAGGACATTGTCAGCTGTGAAAAACATCTCTAGCCACTCCACATGTGCACCAACAGTTTCTCAGTCACCCTAAGGCCCTTAAATCCTTCTTGTGCTTCACACCCAATAAATATCCTGCATCCTCTCATTTGATGTTCATAGTTTTCTTGTATCTATGTGAGATTCTTTAGACCTCATTTAAATGCAAGTTGTGGAAACCATCCTACACGTTGACTGTAAACTATCCAAGTGAAACATGAGATAACAAACGAGTATTAAGTTTGCAGTCAGTATTATCATCTCTGAACGAATATATAAGAACCAATTCCAAATAAGGAAGGCATCTTCTAGTAACTGGTAAGGAAATAAGTTTCACTTCTGATCACTTTCCGAGGAAACTACTATCAGTTATTAAGTTTAAAGTCAGAGTAATTATTTTATCACAATGTTTATTGTTTTAACCTGTATGTGATATTATCCTTGATTCTGACACAGGAAAAGCTGCTTTTGTATTTTCTGTTCAAATAATAGTCTGATGTTTTGCATGCTGTCTCTGGCAACATGTTAAGTGGGTCTGGGCATCCTAGCTGACTTTTCATGAACCCTGCCTCAGGACACTGAGACAGATATAGTATCAGTTAAATATAGTTTCCCACAGCAGACTCAGCTGACATCATTAACTTCAGTGTGTTCCATGCACTGAGTTTGTGACACTCCTGAACTGACTGGCATATTTCCACATAATCCTCATATTAATATCTGTGTACAATTTAGAAGTAATTCTATTTCTTTATACAGGCTTATTTTAACAAGAAGTGATATGCATACACTTATTTATGTCTGCTCCTGTATGTCTTAGTGTTGATTTCCAGTTGCTCTCTGCCAACTACATGACTGTTAATGTATCTTTGGCGAGGAATAATTAAATGTTAACAGGTAATTTATCAAGTAATAACTAGGATCTGACTTATTTTTTATGATATTGTCATTTTACCAGTGGTTGACTGACAGATTACAGGCCTCAGCTAGGCTTTGTCCTAATTTTGAGTCTTTGGCCTGTCTCCCTATTACTTTTCCAGGCATTGCCCCACTTCCCACAGCAGGTGGCCTCTGCATTCTCTTCAGGGAATTTTTTCTGCTATATGCCATTTTAGGTTGCAGCTTCGGATCCATTGTACAGGTGTTTAGAAGACAATCCAACCTAGAGCTAAATACTTTCTAGCTCAGGCCCTCAACTTACTGCATTTGCTGACTTAGATTTGTTCTAGTCCTCCAATAACTCAATTTTAAAACTTTAATCCTTGCCTTTGAATACCTCCATAGCTCACCCCTCCAGCACAGAACTCTGAGATTTTTGTGTTCTTATCCATCTGGCCTCTCAGGCAGCCCACTTTTACAAATGTGTACCTGTAGCTGCCTATGCTTTTAGCATTCCCTTCCTCAACCCCTCTGCCAATCTAACTTTTCTTCATTCTCTAAGGTGCTCATTAAAAGCTACCACTTTAATCACACCAATGAGGATGAGGAGGAATAATTTACTTTTTTGTTGCAATCGTGTAGGATGCCATTCATGGTAAGAGCTATTTCAAATACTGGAGCAGAAGAGAAAATCTGTGTTATGATCCCTACAGAGACCAACACATCAAAACCATCAAGTTTACTAAACAACCTAAATGGAAAAACCAATGGATGAGATTTCACTCCTTAAACTTTTACCTTAACAATCAAAAGACATGTAAATGAACAGGCAAATTGTGGTCAATATAAATAATAAATTGCACTTAAATAACAGACACTACAAGCATTGTTCTCATGGATTTACTAGGTAGCCCACCTGCATATATAGCACAAGGTTCTTCAAAACTCTGTCATCTTTCTCAGTTTGAGGTCCAGTTCCTTTCAACATTCATGAGTTCGCTACTGATTCCCCTCTGACAGTCTCCCCCAACCAATTGGAATCCCATGGGCACAGTATTCAAGTGGATCCTTTAAAATAACTGAAGCAATGACGTAACTTTACTTTTTGAGTCACTTGTTGAGAACAACTCCCACATGCTTCCTGCTGGTCCCACACATTGCAGATTCCATCATACCTCATTGAAGGGATTTAAATGTGAATTTCTGGATAAGATGAGCTGCACTTGCTTGGCAGCAACATGTTAAGTGTATGGAACTGAGTATGTAAGTTGCCCAATGTGGTGCCAGGCAATGACCATCTCCCACATGAAAGCACATTATCAATTCTCCTTGTCATTCAATGACATAACCACCACTAAATTAGCTACTGTCAACATCCGGGTTGGGGGGGGTGGTGAGGTTATACAGTGACCAGAAACACCACCAGTCATATAAATAATATGACTACAAAGGCAGATCAGAGACTGAAAATTCATGGTGAATACTTCAGTTCATGATTTCCAAGGCCCGTGCACCATCCACAAGAAACAAGTATATTGGAATATTATCCACTTGCTAAGATATATGCAGCTCCAATAGCATTCAAGAAACTTGACACAATCTAGCAATAAGAAAACTGGTTAGGCACCCCATCTATCACCTTAAATTTGAAGGTCTCATGAGGAAAGGCTGAGGGACTTGAGCCTGTTTTCATTAGAGAGAAGAAGGTTAAGAGGTGACTTAATAGAGACATAGAAGATGATCAGAGGATTAGATAGGGTGGACAGTGGGAGCCTTTTTCCTCGGATGGTGATGGCTAGCACGAGGGGACATAGCTTTAAATTGAGGGGTGATAGATATAGGACACATGTCAGAAGTAGGTTCTTTACTCAGAGAGTAGTAAGGGCGTGGAATGCCCTGCCTGCAAAAGTAGTAGACTCGCCAACTTTAAGGGCATTTAAATGGTCATTGGATAAGCATATGGATGATAATGGAATAGTGTAGGTTAGATGGGCTTCAGATTGGTTTCACAGGTCGGCGCAACATCGAGGGCCGAAGGGCCTGTACTGCACTGTAATGTTCTAAGTTCTATATTTCCTCCCTCCTCCACTGCAGTGACAGAAACACTGCAGCAACTAATCAAGCTGCCTTTGACAGCATGTTCCAAATCCACGATCTCTATGATCTAGAAGAACAAGGGTAGCAGATAAATGAGAACACCACTTGCAAGTTCACCTTAAGTTATCTACCATTCTCACTTGAAACAACATCAGTCACTATTACTGAGTCAAAATCTTGGATCTCCCTCCTTAGTAATGCTCTGAGTATACCTACACAACACAGACTGTAACAGTTCAAGAAGGCAGCTCACAACAATCTTCTCAAGGGCAATTAAAAATGTAAAATCGATGCTGGCCTAGCCAGCAATGTCCACAATCTGTGAGAGACACAAAAGACAGTTAGCATTGAGTTTTCTCCTTGTGCTTTTTTATCATGAGCTTTAAATTCAGCCAAACTTGGTGGAATGGAAATAGCCTGCATTTACTAGTTTTGAGAATCCCAGGTAAAATTTCTTTAAATGGTCTCAATCCAAAGTAAGTATTAGTTAACACTGCA